CCCCCCCCCCCAAAAAAAAAAAGCCAGTACTGTCGTATTCCTTCAGCGGAAAGCACTCGCTCCGCTGATGCGACCGAATATTGCTTGTTTTTCGGAATAGTTTACATCATTGCACTCGGACAAAAGTTGTATCGTTTGCATACGGACAAGGTGTATTGTAAATGTCCATCTTTTATGTGACCACACACGAACGAGTGGTATGCATTGTAAGGTGGCCTGTTTATTTGTCACACCAACAGCTGTGGACAAGATTACCCTTCCAGTAGTAGCCGCTTGACCTCAGGAGTAAAGGATCCTCCGGTAGGTATTGGAGGCAACTTACGACGCGCTCGATAGCTCTAACGCGGGAAGGAACTCGAGAATTCCATGACGTATCCCTGGATCCCTGTATGTGATTCAATGAACTGGCAATATGGTGCACTCCGACCCGTGCAGTGTATCTGAACTGGGGAGACAACAAACAACTGGTCGACGGAGAACAGAAGACGTGCAATTCGGACGGCAGGTATGGTATGAGATCCAATGAAGAACGAGAAACCGATGCAACCACGGGGAATAGTAAGGGACGACAATCCATTTTTACGGCTTCCAGACACAAGGCCCCGGAAGGAGCATAAACGTACCCTAGCCAACGATGTCGCTAATGCGATATCCGCGTTCTTTGAATGCCGTGAGCACTTTTCATTACGAGAAGAAGCTTCCATCTTTGTCGAACGACGAGTGATCATTTGTTTGTGCATTTTGATTGGGGGGAGGACGGCTATGCTTCCTTCCACATGAGCCAGGCAGAAAGACGAGGGACAAAGGCAGCAGAACACATGCGAAGGTCGTCCACAGGCGTCACAATGGTGCCAGGGACAGAACCAACGACCTGTCAAAGAGGGTTGTACGGAAAGAATCAAATACGGTTGTAGTAGACTCACATATCTAACACGAATTGCAATACATGTGAGTACCTACCTGAAGGAGCAGCATCCAAGTCAAGGCATTGAAGATGAAACACTTTGGGACAATCTGACTTTGTACAATAAACAAGACCTGAGGATACATCCGGAGCACTGGCATTGTCATCCACGCTCCCCAAGGTCTCCGGTGCTCCCACATTCTGTTTGGAGGGGTTGTTGGACTGAATACGCTTCGCTGTCCGACTAGCGGTGAGATCTTTCACCGGTGAACAGCTTACCGCACCAGCCACTAGTTCCTCCAGTTCACGCTCAAGACCGCGTTTAGTAGTAGGGTGCGGTTTGATTTGCACCCCGGGGGCTTTGACAATGATTCCATCAACTGCATCAACCGATTGTTTCACAGGCGGTTCAGACATGCCACATCTATAAAAAGTTCAGAACAAAGTAGAAAACGCATAAAGATCAATAACGTTGACTCGGAAAAATAAACCAGATTACTTTCAGCACACCTCTGCTTGCGGTTTTCTACGTCTTGATAGTAGTAGAAAAACTGGTAGAAGTTGATAGGCGCTGATAACAGCGTGATACTCCAGACAATTGTGAATTCGGGGACTGAGGAAGTTTCGGACAAGTTAGCACCGCGTACAACTAGGTCATTTATTGGTGGAGAAGCAATGAACGGCTGTTTCCCCCTTGGGGTGCAGTACCCACTGTTCACACACATATGGAAGGCACAAGCTATCATAAGGGCCTTGTTCAGCCTCGTCAAGCTCATTAGGACGTGATCAATTTGATCAAGTTACCCAACTGAGGCAAAAACTAAGGCATCTAGACTGGTAGGCAAGGCTTACCGATAACAGAGGTGTTCGTGGCGTAGCTCTCTGACCAGCGCGCACGGCGTGATGGAGTTAGACAGTCCGGGTGCACCAGATGAGTGTGGCCGACCTCCATTGGTATCAACCCCATTAGTGGACTTATTTGGCTCTGTGTTAGCCGCCTCCTTCCGCCTCCCACGAGAAGTGCTGGCCGCCTCTGATGGGTTCTCATCGTCCCCGTTTCGTTGACCATTTGCCGATGTGCTTGCACCGAGAAACCCTGTGCAGTTTTCAGCTCCACAACGACAATTGAGGCGTTCTTGACCCAAAGCCACGAAGTTGTAGTCAAACGTGAGTTCTTCACCAGCTGCTATGTCACTGTTTTATATTATTAAAAAAAACAAGAATTACGGACGGATGCACAAGCGCAACGTCGCGACACTAATGTTGCACTGTTCATGATGACCACATTGCAAAATGGGTAACCGAATGACGGCACGATATAACTGGAAAAAAGTGCATTCGTTTAGCTCCTGGGACAGCCAAAGTGCCACGTACCTCAAGGTCAGCATTCTGATAGCTCGAACTGTTTGGTTCTCTGTTCAAATTCTACTCCAAGATCGTTTACTAGGGTTCATCCTAAACAAACCACTCCCATTATTTATCCCGTCCAGCTGTTTAGTTGTAAAATCTTGTCTCACCATTGTTCCTATACAGAAAGTATTGCATTAAAGCAGCTCAAAATGTGTTGGCGAAAACCGGTGCCCGATGGCCATTCAGATAAATCAACCCACAAAGGCTGCCGCAAATGACTAGAGGGAAGCAATCGATCGGATGGCAATCATCATCGAGATACACGGTTTTGAATGGCCGTCTGTTGAGTGGACTCGTGCAATCAGCTCTGTGTGGGCAGGAGCCACTAACTCCATCAATCTGAGTAGAATTGGCCAGCGATCGACCAACCATAAACAAGCACCACTCCAGACTGGTCTCCACACTCGTAGTTGTCTGTTTACTAACTCTGCATTCTTTCTCTGTGAATTCATTAATTACCATTTGCGAGGTGAGACTTGCCAAAAACTTGTACGCTCGCTAAACTCCGTATTGAGTAGACGCTGACATACAGCTTCTCCGGCTTGGCCGATTACACTTTGTAAACTACCGACCCTCATAGTGGTTATAAACTAATCTGTGGATGATTCCCGATGATTCGGCACACACTGATATACCAGGCGGAAGCGAAAACTAGCAACATACTACTCGTAAGGTCACTGGCGAGGCTCAAGCTGTTTAACATGCCAAAAACGTATATTAGTACCCAATTAATGGCTAAGCCGGGCAACTCATCCACACCTTAGTAACCCGCTTATACATCCCAACAAGACACCAGCCTCCACGAATATCCGACAACTGACTGCCAGTGAGCTGAAAATTCAACTCATGTGATCCTAAAAGAGAGGCAGTTAGATTCGCTAAAAGATTCTTACTCACCTGATCAGAAGGGGAACAAGCTTGTTTTTAGTCACATTCTTGCTAATTATACAGCGATCGGGAAGAAAGTGGATTAGCAAGTGAGTTTGATCCGGCATCACTGAACATAGGTAAGTCTATCGTCCTGATGGGGGCTTGAGAATATATCTAGTTGCTTTCGCGTTCATTGAACAGTAGGGGTGGTGTCGATTTAACGATCTTCTGGTCCAGTAAACCATGGATTCAAAAAACCGGGTTGAATAAACCACTCATTTGTAGTCTGAGACAACTCCAATGAGTCTTTCGTTTACATTTGGTGCCCCAGCGAGAACAATGTTAGAAACTCGGGAACTACGCATCCCTGTCGGCGGGTTATACACAAACTCACCAACATACTTGGTGAACTTTCGAAACTACTGCATTATTTGAAAGTAGTTATCGGTTTGGGATAGTGTGCTCGGCAAACATGAGGTGGAAAAATAATCACCGATTTTGATTGGTTCTCGAAGAAGCTGAAATCGCTTTTTTAGAGGAAGAATCTCCATAGGTGTGGGAGACGAATGCGTGCGAAGCGGAGTGTTTTCAGCCGCTCACTACATGGTGTCTCGATCCATCCGCAGTAGAGACCATTCTTCACAATAAAGTTCCCCGTCAGACATGGTCTGATGTTAATCCCTCCCCCAAGAGACGTCAACACATCAGTCACTTTTGTGGCCACTCCTGTTGTTGTAAGGACCAAGAAACCACTTCTATTCAAATCCGCTAGCCTCACACGTTTTCAGTCAGGAAACTTTGGGCAAAATTGTCACGTGATCTGGTGACGAAGGACTGCTTCGATCGAGAAAGTAAAATTTCACGATACAATACTTCTCCTCCACAGCGGCTCTAAAAATATGCCAAATCGCTTCAAAGAGCTGGTAGTATGTCGGAGCTTTGTCACGCGGAAGTTTTTCGGGTAGAAGAAGTTATATATTTGTATTGTTATTGATGTTGCTCAAACACAGATTACCGACTGAGATTTTGCACCAGAACAAGCAACCCCTTTGTCACTCTGCTAGATGACACAGACCCGGTTTGCCTAGCGTTATTGATTAAACGTCGGATGACGATGTCACGGTAATAACCAGCGGATTGTTGTCCGACTGTATTCTTGGCTTGCTCCAATGTTGTTTCTACAGGCACACTTGGGTTTCACTTTACGTATTGTGACATCGCTGGGGGGTTGTAGGACCATTCGGGACGCTTGGATCGACAAATGTTATATTGTTGGCAGAACCACTCTAAAACGTAACTAAGGGAAACACCTCATTTAAGTAGTATCCTCCACGGTGTAAATTACACGGAAAAATAGGGTAACTGGTGCTCCAGAGGGCTTGTCCGGTCAAATTCCTATTGCTACGGGCCTGGAAACATCGCAGTGGTGTTGTTTCTGTTGCTACAGCTTTGATTAGAAATATCTCGCAGCTAGATGAGAAGACGTTTACAAGTGCGTGGAAACAAAAAGCACTGGTGCATCTGATCTTCCCACCATTCTCATTTCGAATTCCCTACCGAAACACAACAACCGGAGAAGTGGAATGCCTCGGTCAACATTGTTCGAGCTCAGTTAGACTTTTCTGACACCGTTTACCCTGTTCACATATCACTTGCCAAAGGCTACGTCCGCCTCATGTCCCGCCAGAACTATTCACTATGCAGCAGGTTCCACTCTGATATATCCCGTCCCAGAACGTATTCTAATGAATATTCTCAGCGTTATCACTAATAATCATTTTTGTACGATATCCTTGCAATTCTGTATGCGGAGAAGCCACACCTTGTATCGAAGAGTCAACTTCGAGGAAGGTGAAAATGGTTCAGCTCTAACACCCTGTCGCAATCCAAACGCCAAGCTACCCGAAAGAAGGTGAGATACTGCCAGATGACCCAATTCTCCAGTCGAGATGGAGGAGTCGGGTTCGAACCACAGTCCTCCGGGCCTGTAAGTTCGCACCTTAACCATTGGCCCATCTCGAACGCACCGAATGTGTAGAACAACGAGTGGACGGAGCTGAACGTGGGATCACAACGGATAAGGAGCATGACTCGGATTAGACGAGTGTACTGAAAACAACCGTGGAAGTAGTGTCTCAGGCTTGCAAAATCCCGCTCAGATGCTTTTCATAAAGATCCGCAAGTGATGATCATGTGTTGACGATAATTTTAAAAAAGCACAACATTATCAGCGAACTAGCAAAACAGTATAGTCTTTACAGATGTACAGCGAAAGAACGGCAGAAAGTGAGGGAAGACAACGAAAAAACCGCATGGTCACTAACCGCACAGCAAATAGCCCTATTCGATTGTCCCCGTTTACGGTCCACTTTTGTGTATTCAAATTCGGATCACAGCAATGATTCATGAACCGCGACAGATTGCCCTTTGGGCCTGCGTCAATAATGCGTTGCGCATCCAATTTCATCATATAGTAGTTTGTGACATTGTTCTCGTGAGCGAATCGCAGACGTCGGTTCGCTTCCTCTTCGTCGATCAAATCGCCAATGTATTCGTTGACAAATGAGCCCTAAATAGAGGCAAAACGTGAGGAAAGAATATTACGGGGGGGGAGGTAAGAGTACTGGGGAGCTAATGACAAATGACGGTAATTTTTTTTTACTGAGTACTGAAATGGGTGGCCGACAGACTATGCTTGATTGGCCCTCGCGCAACTAAAGCGTGACGCAAAGCACAGGCAAAAGTTGACCGCTTTGTCATTTACAAAAGTTAACACACTGGGGGCGATTCCTTAGTGCGGCTCGAGACTAAGCTGTGAGCATTGCATTCACCGGATCACTGACTTTTGCGGGGAGTTCATATCGCCCCAGCGAGTGTTGGATGTAAAACATACGAAGTAGAACAACGAACAGTCAGGGATCGTTTTCGAAAAAGTTTGGTGACAATCGGTAGATTTATTGCTGGGCAACGTTTCGCTTTTGACACAAAAGCTTCGTCAGTCCAACCAAAGGCATCCCTCTTACACAACTATCTAAGCACTAGCTCAACCACACAAACTGACAGAAGGTTCAAACGAAGTTCAAAAGGGACCATGAAATGAACCGAACCAGGAGAACTAGACCCTAGGCTGGACCCAAACACATGTCGGTTTTCCCACCGACCTAACACTTGTTCAACCACTATAACACACTAAAATCCCTCGGCCGACACCCAACAGAGATTTAGCTTGACTTAGCTGATTGGTTCTCCTTCCGCCTTAAATCTCGACCAACCTCGGAACCTGGTCAATTGGCCTGACGAAGCTTTTGTGTCAAAAGCGAAACGTGGCCCAGCAAAAATCTACCGATTGTCACCAAATTTTTTTTCGAAAACGATGACTACCCAATCGGTTCCGAGTATTCTTCACGTGATTGAACAGTCAGGGATATTGATAGCCGTTCTCTCGAGAAGAGTCTTTAGCCTAATCTATTTCATCTGACTGCGCCACACACTTAAAAGAAGTACAGCCATCGAGCAAGTGGATCCGCTGGCAAAAAGTCCAGCCAAGAAAGCCAAGATAATCGATGTTGGACTGATACGCTCCGACGAGGCTAGCTTCCCATCAAATAACTGTGAAACTAGCGTTTTTTGATTTTTTCGCTGTGAAAAACTACCGCGGCTGAAACCATCGCAAATATGGCGCGCGGTCCCGACACATCATCCAAGATGAAACACTTTTCAGTTAACGACCAAGCCCTGAGTAATGAATTCCTCTCTAATGCGGCCGTGCGGTCATGCACAGGAATTCAAGGTTATTTAGGCTACTCGTCTCCTGGACTTTCCGAGGGTAATCTAGAAAGGAGGTACCGTTCCTGAGGAGAGCTTTAAAAACACAAAGAGAGGAGAGAGAATTACTGCACATACACGCTGAGAAGCCTTCTTTTTCTTTAGAAATCTGCATCAGATTAGACGCCACTACAATCCTCCTCGAGGGTTTGTGTAGTCCCGTGAGTCTGCATCAAACTGCATCGCACTACGCTGGATCTTCAGCTCAGCTGGGAAGACTTCCACGTCGTGTGAGTGGGCCTAAAACTCAAACCTCACATGAGTCTAGCGTTGTGCCATTCACAGCAGAGCCAATGAAATGGAAATGGTCAGTAGTACGAAAAGAACACTTTCAGGGGCTCTAGACGCGTCTCTGCGCCGGACTTAAAATTTAGCAGGTTTGTGTGCAGACACCCAAACAGGGGCTATGCTACTGTGGCCAATCAAAATGTCAACTGCAGCTCTAGCTACGATTCATTGCACCTATCGATTCAGATGCGGTTGCGGTGATTTATCGGTAGAACTGGCGGGCGGTTTGAAACATAAGCAAACGAGCACGTCTTCAAACAACTCTGTACCATGTCACCTGACCCTAGCCAACGCTGATCGAATCCAGGGTCAAGGCGCCGGTTTGCAGGCATCAAATCGACACAAAGCCGAGTTGAACTAAACTCATTTGTTCATGTCTTGGCAGGAACCAGAGAGGTTACAGACAGTGAATTTCCTTGAGGTCGTATTGATTAATCGTTTTAAGCCTGCCCTCTGCACTCGAAAAAAAACTCCAAGACTGTTTTGGATTCATTGATTGACCACGTTATTTTAGACTCACATAAATGTTGTAACCTGAACTGCACGATACGGCGAAAAAGAATGCAAAAAGTGAATTCATCGAGCAACCTCGTTGTTCTCACTGTCTTAATCAGATTTGATAAACAGGGAGAACTCGTGGAGTTGATTAGACAGAAATAGTGCCACTACACAAAAGAGAAAATGCTTACCGCCTTGATGGGTACCAGTGTCTTCAAGCCCCAACCGCGCTCGCTTCCTGTCCAGAACGGGCGCTGCCGCGGATACAGCCGTTTGGTGAACCGTTGGTTCTGACACGCATCTCCGTTTGGACACACACTGGGTAGACATTCATAGTGAAGCTCGCGGTTGATGCATCCGCTGGATGGACCGCATGGTTCCCCTCCTGAGTTTGGTTTGCACTCACAACGAGGTGCCTCGCTTGGGTCGGTTAGTCGATAGATACGGACGGATCCCAAAGGCCAGTTCACCTGGAAATGCATTATATACAGGGTCAATGGTGTACGCCCAATATCTGTCCTGTCACAAGTGACCTTACAGTAGTTCGGTTGTTGCACCCTTTCGGTATCTGACTGCCATGCCGCCAGAAGGAAGCACGAGGGCTGGGATGCTGCCGGGTCGCCTAAACCTAGACAGGTGAAGTCGAGAGGGAGAGGTCGGGTTCGGACCTGGAACCTTCGGGATAGTAAATTCGCGCTCAAACCACTACTGAGCCATCTCTGCCCTGATCTTATAGATGAATATAGATTAGGCACTCAACCACTATGGAAGTACAGGTCTATAGTAAAGAATTCGTACTCTAAACTTCATCCAAAAAACAATACACCGACAATTTAGATGAAGTGAGCATCAAGCAATTTGAATACGGTGAATGCGTTCTCAGTGTTCTTAAGACTAGAACTTCTGGGGAAAATATTTCAATGGCCACTTGCCGGTTATTGGAACCGGACAAAGCATAGCTCCTGAACGCAAGAAGATATTCAGATTAAATAAAGGGATTCCGAGAAAGCCCGAACAGACAGTTTCGTCAAATGCTTTAAACTACTAGATAAAAAAACCTTGGTTCGAACTCAGTGGTCTAAATGTAAGGTTAGGACGGGCTCGAGACGCTCAGTGGTTGAGACGCCAGCTCACAGATCGGCATCTCAACTGCTTCTGTTTAGGTCTGGATAGACGGGCATAATCGCAGTCCTAATGCCTCTCTCTGTTGACATGACAACTAAGCACCGAAAAGGTGCTACAACTGAACGATTTCATTGATTTTTTGAAGAGTGAGATTTCTGAACTTACCATTTGAGATTTTGGGAGAGGGGCACCGGAATTAGATAATGTGCCTGCATCAGTATTCCTTTATGTATACTATCAAAACTAGCCTTTTGTTTATCAGTTAGAAAGTATCCCAACTGGGCAGTATTTCGTATGAATGTTCTGACTTGACCACGCTTAACACGCGGTCGTGCCACGTGATCGATCGTGCGAAAATCAAACACAATTAGACTGTTCTCAAACGCGTCTGTCCAGCAAAATGTGCTGGAATCGTTTTAAACACCGACCTACTCTTGCTGGCAAAAACGGAGAAAGTAAACTATAGAACGGCCAATGGAGGCGGTTCAAGATAAAACCTGACCGTTCGTGATTGCGTTTTGCAAAAAAAATGCAAGTACGTGTTGCTATTCGCCGGACGCTCGACACAAACAGTTTCGGAAAGTGAATCACTTAAATGGTATCTGAGTGCATGAAAAATGTCGTTCACTAGCAGAGGCGATTCCATTACTGATCATGTGTCCAGATCATGCAAATAGGGCTTACACCATTTTACCGGGTAATCACTCAGTAAGGTGGCTCAAGTGGTTAGAGCGCGAATTTACTGACCGGAAGTTTCGTGGTTCCAACCCGAACTCTGCCTCTCGACTTCCCCTGTCTAAGCTTGGCCAAATTGGCAGTATCCCGGCCCTCGTGCTTCCTTCGGGTGGCCTGGCAGTTAGGCACCGGATGGGGTGTTACAGCTGAACAATTTATTGTTTCCTTCATATTTGTAACAGCCACCCTGGCCATCTACAGGAGGCCAGTTGATCGCCCTGTCAGATCAAGACCATGATGGCCCTGATGAACCCAAGGGATAGATAGCATCATTAGCTTGAAATCGAACCGATCGGATGTGGCAAGCAATCCCGAATGCAGGTAAAATGTCTTGAGGCTGGAACGAGCACCGGAGATTGTGAGAATGAACGTCGGATCTGGAAGTTATTCCCCACGAATGGGCTTGGCTTGGTTGCCCGAACACGTGTGATACAATCCAGTAATAAGAGAAATAAACAGCTGTCTCCAGGATAATCGTCTGCCTCAGTCGTGAATCGGAATAACCGGGTTGCAACTGTTTGTCGAGATGCCTTGGCCATAGCAACGTTGGCTGACACGTGTGTTATGTGTTATGATATCGATCCCAGCGTACGCCGACCAATACGAATCTGTTCGTCTGCGAAAATGATCCTTATTCAACCAACAGACCGGCAGAGTAGTTGTTAAGCTGTAACACCCTTTCAGTGTCTGGCTGTCATGCAACTTGAAGGAAGCATGAGGGCTAAAAAACCGTCAGGTTACCCAGGCCTGCACAGGAGCGGTCGAGATACTGGGGTTGGGTTCGAACCAGGGACCTTCCGATCAGTAGTTTCGTGCTTTAACCATTGAGCCATGTCGGCTCGACGAAGAAGAGGCGTACAGGTGATACAGTTGATTTCCATGCACAATGGCTCAACACTGCAAAATGGATGCGCATTAAGTGGCGGTCGGTAGCATTTGCGTCGCTCCATCTTCGAAACGGAACACCTTGTCTATCCTGTCGCTAGAACGCTCCGAATCGGACGAAATACAGGAGGTTCAACCCATTTAGCAGACAGGTTGATGAACTACCGCAATCGGTTAACAGTGGCATGCCGACCGCTCCTGTCTAGGCTTGGACAATCTGGCAACACCTCGTGCTACCTTCAAGCAGCATGGAAGCTAGGCACCGAGAGGGCGCTGCAGCTGAATCATTATTTTTGCACAACCGGGTTGTCGTTTCGGCTTGGTTACCAGACCATCATGGCAGTCAAAAATATTGGACCACTCAACAGTTTACAAAACACTATCACACCATGGCAGTCAAAAATATTGGACCACTCAACAGTTTACAAAACAAATCGCTTCATCGTGGACGGCAAAAAATAAAACTCGTAATTCTATTGGACGCGCTGTTTTCTTCATGGCGACTGAAGCAATGCGACATCGTTTCGTGACAAGAGAGAAACAATGTATGAAGAACAAAAAGGTGATACAAATGTTCTTTTACCTAGCTAAAAAGAAAACGTAAGTCAACATTCTTTGGTTCAGTTCTACAAATTTCTTTGCGAAAAAGCTCGTGACGTGAATTTGACCATCGGAGGGTCATCACTTGGTGCCTGACAATTTCAACTAATTGCCGAACAGCGGTTTGATGAGACCTTTATATTGATTTTCGCCAGGTAAACGACAGTCGCACTAATTTTGGAGTCTGGCTAGATCTTGCTTGGCCTCCCGAGGTAATCGCTTCTCCCGAGCGGTAACTGTGATGTGTATACTTTGGCCCTATACGTATAGGTTAACCATTTTCATACATTGTTTACGAGGTCAATTGTTTAGTTCAATACTATAGGTTAAGCTATCAAGTTGTACTGTGTTCTGGTTACTTCGATAGGTGTCCTGAGGCTCGCAGTGTAGGAAAACATTGTTGCCGTGATTTCATTTTTGTTTTACAACCGAGGACATACCTTAATCGGTTTGTAATAATCGGGTCTCCGTGTCCGACCCAGAAGTTGACCGAATCGGTCGTGCCTGCCCGACCAACCATCAGCTGCCTGCTTTACGGCCGCAGCATAGACTTCTTTGCGTTTCGCAGCTAGAGCAGGATCGAGAGAGGACTGATCCAACCGCTTCGCTGCCTTTCCGTCTTTCGAGGGACGTAAGCGCTGACATCGGGTTGAACGAGGTCGCAGATTGGGAACGTTCACCGGTGCTTTGGAGGTAGGGTGTGTGGGGGGAGAAGACGACGTTTTATCCTGTTTCAATGGAGACGAAGAGGGCTGTTGGTTTTCCTTCGAGGAACCATCATTGCTGTTGGGCCCCAACTGCAGCAGTGGATCCTCGTCTTCACCATCGTCCATACAACCGCTACGCCGACGATGTTTTCCGCCAGACTCGTCGTCACTGGAGTCAGAACTAGCAGTAAAGCGGAAACACAAAGCAAACGTTAGGACAAGGATATAAGGAGTTCAGTGGTACCAGAACAATACAATCAGCCAAAACCCCAGTAAAGTTGATCACCTGAACCTAGGACTTATCCACAAAGATTTTCACTGCATACAATTTGAATGGAGTTCAAGTTTTTGAGGCACAGTTTTTGGTCTAGGTCTTGGCAGGATCCCAGCCCACGTACGAGCATGAGTTGCACGCTTACAAATAATCTCACGCTACATTAGCAGTCAAATGGTGCCGTCAGCCGCGTCACCCTGTTTGGTGCTAACAGCAGGGCAGGTAAGCGAAAACGGGCCAGTATTGGGGCGTTTCTCTTCTCTTTTTCACACACTTTCTTCTCCCTTCCCCCACCCCACTAATAACTATCTCCTCCATCAACCGGGATTGATGACTCCGTTCCTCCTACATCGGTTTTTGGCAGCAACACCTGCTCATCATTCGGCGTTCCCATCCTCAGATAGCTTCCAAGACAACGAAGGATCAGTGTTGAACACCGACGTTATGCTTTCGATGATGATGATAGTGCATAAATAGCGTCTTTGAGTATGTCCTGAAGTTTGAGGCATGGGAGGGTCTCACCATCACAACCAATACTCACAAGCTGAGCGAATCCGGCTTTACCACCCAGGACACACTGTTTATGCCATAAGTCGATTGATCTAACTCTTCAAAACACAGCCACGAGAAGCACCACCACACATTATTTGCTTACGCAAGAGTTCAAATCTAACCAACCAACCAGATCGTTTGCCTTTCCGATCAGGGTCGAACCACAGCGGTGGGGAGATGGTTATGAAGAGTGCTAGAGGTTTTGAACAGCTCAGGCAAGCTGGTTACATAGTCGGGCACAGAACAACCCAAATCAAAAAGCGAATCAACAAACAAACAAGGAAGATGAATACAAGGTCGATAAACTTTAATTATGTAAGATTGGACTCAGAATGAACGATTAACAAACGGTTTTTTATTTCCATACCTTGAACTATTTCCTCGTTGGTCATCTCCCTCCTCGTAAGGAAAAAGGCGAGCTCTGGTTGTCCACAAAAACACTGGATATACGGACTGGCCCCCAGCTTCGTCACAACGCGTGTGCGACAATCCGAACAGACGTAGTGGGAACAATCCGAGAGCGCGATCATACGGGACTGTTTGGGTGTCACTTGGTTCGTTTGACATGGTTTGACAAATTGCTCCACCCGTGATTGCGTTCATATGAGATAGATTGGCCGGCAAATGACGAGGATGTACCACCTCGCCAGGCCACCAGTACACACCAGTGGTTAAAGAAGCGCAATCTGTCGGTAACCGTTTATCCATGCCAACTGTTGAGGAGTGTGGGTTGGAAGTGACGTGTTTCATGGAGTTCATACTGGGTGGCAATCTGGCCCACATTATTTCACCATATCGTGGCGATCGGCCATTCATGCAGTCCTCACAAACGAACTTATCGGGGACCTGTAAACCGACAGGGATGTGAAGATTGGTAGGAGTGAGAAGTGCAACAAAGAGAGATTTGAGCTTCGATCAAAAGTACATGGATGTGGTGTGGGAACTTGTGAACAGTTCAAATCTAGGCAGTTCGAAAAACTCTAGAGCAACGAAGCAGGCTGTTGCGTGACACATAACGTGTATTTTGTTGTCTCTTCGTGTACCGAACAATACTGAATGAATAAATAGAACAGGGCAACATTTTTACCACTGGGTTGTTGAAAGCAAGGCAGTGCCAACGATAGAGCTGATTTCTCCTGTTTACACGGTTCTGAATTTCATGTTTTGATTAAGCAAACTACAGTATTTTCCCGCTTGCGGTCCTGTACACGATGTAGAACGCAGCTGCCGGATCATCACAACGTCCGGTTCCAATCAAATGAGGGACTGTCGATAAAGCTAGTATCGACGACGACTCGACTACCTCCGAAATTGAATACGGCTGTCTGCACCCGGAGCACGATGTGCTCCGCTCGTTTAAGTCGAAATCGCCCCTCATTTCTGTCGAGGTAAGTGACCCGGTATACATATACCGTTCAACCGCAGCACTCTTTCGGTGCCTAGTTGCCATGCCACACGAAAGAGGCACGAGGGCTGGGATACTGTCGGGTTGCCCAAGCCTAGACAGGGGAAGTCGAGTGGCAGAGGTCGGATTCGAACCACGGACCTGCCGGTCAGTGAATTCGCGCTCTAACCACTTGGTCCATCTCGGTCCCAAGTGACCCAGTCTCCGTATGTAAACCAGCAGACGAGACTGAAGACGGCGTTCTGTGGTAATAGGACCTTAACTGTATGCATTGGGATTTGGTTGCGAGTGTACATAACCAAGGAGAGTGTCTGTCTTCGGGACCGGATGGATTCGTGTTCTCTTTCAGCTGAAGCATGCATCTCTGCAACAGAAAAGTCGTGTTCCAAAAATAAATAAATCAGAAAATAAGACTTGAACCATAGGTCGCAGGAAGACACCATCAGTAGAACAGACTCACTAAACTTTGCGGATATTACACGCCAACAGACGAACTATGGCCAGACAGTCCCGTTAGGGGCGATAAGAGGATCGGTCATGTGCCACGTTCTGTAGGGTTTTTAAACGCCTGTAGTGAATCACATGAAGTTCCAGTTCGACTGTAACCACGCCCATTTTCTGGGTCCAAGTCACGGTCTGTCTTTTTCAAACTTGTGGACAGCACAGGGTTGGAACGAGACCACAGCCTTCTTTCGTAGAAGGCAGTGGGAAATGCTTAGACCGATAGATTTCATTCGTTATTCTAGCTATCCGACTTCTAGCCACGAGCAGCCAAGTGGCGTAGTCAAAACAACCGGTGCTCAGACCCAAGTCACCCGAATGAGATTAGTGGGCCTGGTACCAGGTCAGATATCCCTCCCTTTTTTAAATTCTGAATGAGACATTGCACACAAGTACAGTGGTCTATCATGACGGACTCGTACACAAAAACCTACTCGCCACATCCTTCATCGAGAGGTAGTTAGACAAAAAAAAACACCAAAAAGGGCTGCGAAATTGAGTGTGCACCGTGGTCTTCAATCAGCCAGATCAGTTCAGCCTTCGGGCTCACTGTTTTTCCAGTCGACTCAAAAGTGTAATGCGGCATGCGACCGTTGGGACGCAGAAATATACTCAAAATATACAGAGCATTGAAAGCAAATTACCGCTTGGAAATAAAGGCTGGACTAGGGTGTGATTCACACCATAAATAAGAGAATCTTGGGGAATAGACGAATCGGAAGATGGTCATCTGGAAAATATGGCGTGAAACAACTAACCAACATCGTTCACCTGTAATATCCTTTCATTGTCTAACTGCCATGCCACACGAACGAGGCACGAGGGCTGGGATACTGCCAGGTTGTCCAAGCCTAGACAGAGGAAGTTGAGAGGCAGAGGTCGGATTCGAACCACGGACCTTCCGGTCAGTGAATTTGCCCTGTAACTACTTGAGCCATCTAGTCCCCAACATAGTGGACTGTCACTTCGAATAACGCTGATGGATCACTGTGCGGGACAGACATGCGCCTGATGCTGAGTAGCATGTAAATCCAAGAGAAAAAGAATGAGGGAACAGCGGGGGCGGTTCTAAAGCGGGGCCCGTCATCGTGAAATCACATGGGAACAACTAGACAGTTGTAACTCCCAGTTCAATTCAGTTTGACAACCGCGAACCACTTATATATGTGGCAACGGATAGCGTAAGACGGAAGAGGACGATGTGAGCAGAAGACAACTGAAAAGGAGTGAGCTAAGGAATAATTGTAAGGGACCTGATACAAAAGCGTCTGACATCTTCGTTTCGACGAGTACCCACATTAATGTTGTGCGTGTCGGATAACTCAACAGAGCGGATGTCACGCAGGTACGACCCACTACTACGTTCTATATGCCCCGGTCGTGTTGCCCACCTTGTGGTGAACTTTCCGGACACAACCTGCTTCAGCGAAATCGGTGCGGCGAGGCGATAGAACATCGGGTATAAGGAACACAAAGCCAAGCCAACAGAGTTGGTGAAGTTGGATCAACTCATCGATTTTCCGCGAAAAAAAAACACTGGTCACACTCCATCACTGACAATCCGAAGTTGTCACAATATAAGTATAGTCGCTCGAAGGCATGAATGATAAAAAACACGAGCAACCTATTTTGTCCACGACGGACTTCAGAAGCGTAAACCGACACTGGATACAGTGCCACGTTGTAGACTCTGTCTTTCACCTAAATCCCCCCAAGATGAAGAAAAACAGAACGGGCCCTAGTGATTCCAAAATCCTTTTTTTCCGTAATTCTGACATCCCATGTGATGCAGTTACTTATGTAAGTGAATTCATACACTATCTCTAATGACTCAGTGGTTAGAGCGCGAATTTACTGACCGGAAGGTACGTGGTTCGAGCCCGACCTCTGCCTCTCGACTTCACGTGTCTGGGCTTGGGCAACCTGGCAGTATCCCAGCCGTCATGCTTCTTTTAGGTGGCGCGGCAGCTGGGCACCGAAATGGTGCTATAGCTGAATTATTATTGATTATTTGTATCTTATCTCCGATCCTGATGCCACAATCAGCTCTGGTGGGGTAGTCACCCAGTCTTGGAACAGTAATTTTTGATCTGAAGGTACAAAACGTACCCAAATTGCGTGGGAACGGTACTCAGATCATTTCGGATAGTATGTATGCAAATGAGTGCATGATGGCCCACGTCAATCGTAGAATACACCCGGACCGCCACATGCACATGGCTAACCAGTCCGCTCTGAGACCGCTGGAGACTGAACTACGCAGACAGACCCAACTAGTCCGTTTTGGTTTGTACAACAAAAGATTACACAAGGCCACATGTGAAACCGCCAGAGGACTAGCTGGAATTTATCCTATGAAGCTGAAGCGAGCCTGGTGATCTCTTGTACTCTGACAGATAACCGTGCATTTCATACTGCTGTTCCGGAGAGAAACAGTACAAAAACGGACAACACAATCAAGTGGGTAGGAATGGCACACCACAAGGGTTCGATAGGTTTGGACAGTGGTTCTTCCGTGAAAAACAGCTAGAGCTCGAGGTACCTCAGTGGTTAAGGCGCGGACTTACTGACCAGAAGTTAGGTGGTTCGAGCCCAACCGCGTTTCTACCGTTCCTGTCTACACTTGTGCAGCCTGGCAGTATCCCAGCCCTCGTGCTTCCTTCGGGTAGTGTGGCAGCTAGGCACCGAAAGGGTGTTACAGCTGAACGTCTTACAACAAACGTTCGCAAAACGGCATCAAGTTCCTCTCTGTATGTTTAACTTCTAAAGATTGGTACAGGCCAAACACTTTCACCTACGCAGCTGGTGACGTCGTCATTGTTTCAGTGAGGTGGCAGGGTAAAGTATTGGTGTAGTAATTAATGACAGAAGGATACGGTCCAACAATAGAACTGCTACCGCGCAGGACGGCTATTTCGATAGACATCCAGACTATGTAGCTTTAGTTCACCCGTGACAGTGCCTTGGGAGTGAAGTGGCTCAGTAGTTCGAACCCGACCTCTGCCTCTTGATTTCCCCCGTCTAAGCTTGGGCAACCTGGTAGTATCCCAGCCCTCGTGCTTTCTTTGGGTGGCATGGCAGCTAGGCACCAAAAAGGTGCCATAGATGAACGCGCCTTAATTCGACTCGATACTCACATGCGTTAACTGAAAGTTGTCAAAAGGTCCGGACACCCTTCGAAAAATACACTCATTTGCATATCAATTTGGTTTTTACGGGAGACTCTACTAAATCTCTCTCATTATGATATTCCCCAACTGAATGTGCTGCACGAAGGCCAATTCATGTTTCGAGACGTCGCAGTATATTTTTTCATAGAGGAAATTACGCACACGGTTGCAGACAAGTGCCAGTGTGTATGTACCACTGTTGCTGTCAGTGGTGACAGACATGGTCCAACTTGCATAGCTAGTTCGCCCTCACCGGAAAGCACCAATAACGCGCAGTAAAGGGGTTGTTCTAAGAGAGCCGAACCCTCAATCTTCCAGACACCCTCTGGGATTCGCCACGATCGACAGTGGTGAGCCAGCACTCAGACAGGACACACGGTTTGAATTACGGGGTCTGGTGCTGAGCAGCTTCTCAATTGACTTATGAAGTGTAAAAATCGCTCAGCTGTAACACCCTTCCGGTGTCTAACTGCCATGCAACCCGAAGGTTGCACGAGGGCTGGGATACTGCTAGGTTATCCAAGACTAGATAAGGGAAGTCAGGAGGCAGAGGTCGGATTCGAACCACGGACGTTCCGGTCAGTAAATTCGCGCTCTAACCACTTGAGCCATCTCGCCCTTATGAAGTGTTTTAGTTTCTAAACAGACTGCGTTTAGTTTAAAAAATCCCGAATCTGAATTTCGCGCCACCGGTTGGGGATGCTAAAACAAGCGGGTTGTTGATGAATAACTTACAACGAAATTGCCGCTCTCAACCAACCCAAGTCTACCTGATCGACCGGAAGATGTATCGTATGGGCACCACTGGTGATTGTAAACCAGGACGAGACATTTCCGTCCCCACATCCGCCACTAGTCAACAAAACACTAGCGACGTAGACGATCAAAGTTTGAAGCTTCCAAACTTCCCTCACAGCCTACAAAAAGCCACGGTTACAGGGAATTTTTAGGTAGTCAGTCTGATGCCCCAGCAATGTTCATCGACCGGCGATCACCTTCAGTAGGCGCCGGTCCATTACACCTATCTCACTAGGTGATGGATAAAATTGTGGCAGCTATAATGTTCACAGCGTACCGACAGAGAGTTGAATACAGTTCATCCGGAGTCCCTCATTATGGGTTGATGACGTGTACAACGGAAACCATAGAGCGAGTGCAAGGAGCAGCTGTGGACTTCGTCAGAAGCAATGTCTCAAAACTACATTGACAAAAATTTACGGGTCAGAACAGTGTAGAAGAAACTTCGCTAACGGAGTTAACCGATGATGAAGTGTCACAGAAAATCGTTCAGCTGCAACACCCTTTGGCTACCTAGCTACCATTCCACCCAAAGGAGACATGAGGGATGAGATACTGCCAGGCTGCCTAAGCCAAGACAGGGAAAGTCAAGAGGCAGAGGTCAAATTCGAACCACGGACCTTCCAGTCAGTCAAACGGCGCCAGTTAGATCACAGCTTCCGAAACATTCTAGTACAAACTAAATCAAAGGTGATGGGAGACCGACATTAATCACCTCATCAATCTTCAAGCAATCTTCGTGGAACGAGGCAGGACAGCTTTCACAGCAAATAATCCGGCCACCTTTGGAACAGATGAAACACCACGAGACGTTTGTGGATCGGAACATGGTGGCCAGGGCGGCGTCAGGGAACGGGACTTTCAGACTGTCAGGGATGAAACTGAGGGATTGGTAGTTGTCCAACGAGTGCCGAGGACATATGATCCAGTTTGGAGCAATCTGAAGAAAAAGAATTCGCTTAAAGTCAACAAGGTGGAATAGTCATCTCAACAACGAGGCTTAGAAAAGATTCAAACAAGAGCGAAACAAAGCCCAAAACGGTTTGATTTGAGCACGGAAGTATGTGCCGAATCATCGTAGCAGTGCGCCCACATATTGAACAAAAGGAGAAATCTGGTCATTTTTTGCATGTCTCTGGAAAATGTGGTTTGTGAGTAAGTCAATATCCCATATGATTATCGATCAACTCCCGCATACACCACACGAAATGCGTTAGCTTGGTGCCCCCACACGATCTGACCTTGCACGCGCTTGTACAGAAAAACTGGAGACCATTGCTCTGATTGTCCAACCGCAAACAGCAAGAAAAATGGAGATTTCGCAGCTCGATTCGTACTAAAAATTCCCCCATGGATGTGACCCGGGAGTCTGAATTAGTTTCTATTACAAATGAGTGCATATTTGGTTTCAAGTAGAACATAAGGTTGACGGAGACTCGGGGACTGCGCCTACCTGATGAGCCCCAAATAGGGCGAAACCGGTCGTGGGCTATCGACGGATTTTCAGCAACCTTATGAGTAGTACATTACAAAGATATACATGTATCGCGATATCTCGAATATCGTAGCGACTGAAACATGAGGCGGCCTGGTGCAGCTCATTCAGTTGCCTCAGAACGTCATAAACGAGAGATTCAGCTGGGTTCCAGGTGAGTCTCTCGAAAAACCAAATTAGTTTGCAAATGAGTTTTTATTCGCTGGTTTCTATTACGCCCTCAACTGCTGACCCGAACCATTTATCCACTTTTCTGTTCTCTGCACACACACGCACTCCAGGCGAACAAGTAGCTAAGGGAACGGAGTCGAGAAGGCTCAGCAGTTGAGGCACGAACTCAGTAAACGGAAGATCCGCGGTTGGATCCCAACTTCGGCATCTCGAGTGCTTCTGGTTAGGTTTGGGCAACCTGACAGTACCTCAGACTTCGTGTTTTCTGCGGATGGCAAAAATAACTACTCACTGAAAGAGTGTTAACAGCTGAGTGATCATTTATTTATGTTTATTTAAGGAAATGGGCCAAAGTCGAGTCCAGTGTCCCCCTTTTAAGTATATACTAAGATGAACAACTGTCTCAGAACAGGAAAGGGATTATTCGAACGAACATGGTGTGAACACGGATGTAACACCTTCCTTAAGTATTACAACAACCCAAATACAGGGCCACGCTGGGGGACTGCGATGTGAACTCGACATCTGAATTCGATGTATGAATTCAACCGTATTTCGGAAATGTGATCGAATCAAGAAGTTGAGGCCTTCAATCCAGGGGGGCAACAGCAAGACAAGGAGAGAAACGATTTTCTTCATATCAACGCTTCAACAGGCGATTGGGAAGGTATGCGCTAGAATATTGCCCACCAATCACGTTTCACAAGATTCGCGCCATCGCATTCTGAATCACTGCAAAACGTTGGTGGTTGATCAGGTAACCGTTGATCTGTTCACCGAACTTGGCAATTAGTTTGCGAACGTTTCACCGGTGCGCAGTTGGGTGGCCGCCCACTAGTAACTTCAGCTGGCCTGCTGACGAAACGTATGCAAGCTAATTGCCAAGCTCGACGAACAGACCAACGGCCAGAAGACCGGGCCGCTTGCCGGTACATCACCGAGCCGAGTTCTAACTGTTAGAAGGTATCGACCCAGCAGCCAATCTTGATCCACTGAATGCGGTCAAGAAGGCGTCCAAATTAGTGTAATTACAGGATGTACGTTTCGTTGAAAAAAAAAACCATAGACGTGGTCTGCCCTATTAACTAAGAAACGTCAGGAACTTTTTACCACATGAGATTCCTTTTCACACTCAACTTTCTTTAACATTATGTGAAATAATCAACAGCCTACACGCATTTGCAAATTAGGTCAAGGGACCTTCAGCGACCTTATGAGTAGTGCGTTCCGTCAAGCAAACTATGTGAACTAGCCATTAGATGTGGAAGGGACGTAGGTGTGCATTTAACGGCTTCGAGCAGTTTTCGATGCACTTAGCAGCCCGAAGAACTTCAGAGACCTGGAAAGGTGCATGTGTGCCTGGTGAAGATCCCTCCTTAAGAATATGGTATTGCTGGATTGCTGGAGATACATGAAACCACCCTACTGTGAACGCTGTTACTGCAACCTTGGTTACATGCTGGAACATAAACTGAGTCACCCTAGAACCCAAAAATGCACGCAAAAGCGGAACGCGCACAAAGTATGGTTCGACTCGGGAAGTGGCGAGCTCGGTAGAGGGGCAAACTGTGTAAGCATCAATAGCACAAGAGAGTAAAGTGGAAGCCGGTTTCACCTACCTCTTTGCTCCCAGCTGGTAAGCACCAGTCGCCTGGATGGTATGCTGCAGGACAAAGGAAACAGCGGATGTAGCGGGGAGTTGGTCGAGGTATCGTTCCGGGAGTTTCCACCACACAAGCAAGACATGTGTGAGATGGGCATGAAAAGGCACCGGCACGTCGTTCGCGTACCACAGTGCTGAAAGGTGGCTTTCGTAGGCAGCTTGGATGAAACCACTTTCGACAGGGTTTGACGGAACAACGTATCATCTGGTCCGCTTCCTCAGTCCTTTCATTCTCGTGCGGTGTGGAGGCGGGAATTTCAGGGACTGTATTTACAGTAGTCGAGAGAGGGTCGTTAGGAGGCACTTCAGTTCGGGTGGGAGAAGAAGGAACGCTAACTGTCGGCGTGGATATGTCATCAACGGCCGTTGAATGATCTGGAATCGGAGTTGGTGGACGAGCAAACAGGGGCACAAATGGTTGGGTGAGCTGAAAAGTAGAAAGACATAGCAGACTTTGTTGCCTCACTCCCTCCAAGACTGAAAGTTGTTGAATCAATGGAACAGAAAGAACTAAACAGGCTATACGGTTTACTGAATACTTGAGTTAAAACATGAGATATAAAGGTTACTGAAAGCCTGATATTTTGGACTCGTCTAAAACACGTTGGTGTGGTGTGATGAAGTCCTTAGCAGCATTACGAACGCAGAAGACGGTTTAGACCGTTTACAAAGTAGCAAGGGAAGCTTTGTGTAATGATACACTATGCAACATCAATGTCATGCTGTCGATGATGATGATGATGATGACACTATGCAACAAACATTCCGTGAAGTCTTATCGATTATATGAACTGAACTCACATGGCAGATGAAACATCGTCTCAGTCCGGACAGGCACAATTCACAAACGAAACCGGAACGGTGTCCCTGAGCGTCATCTGCTACTCGTTCCGGTTCGTTGGGGACACCATGTTCCAAAGTACCTTCCGTCAGAACTGCCTTCGGGTCTTGGTTGGACGGCCCGTTGACAGTGGTTGCTGCCGTCGGTTTGCTCTTCATCACCGGTAGATCTACAGTGCGCGCGCAAGCTGGGTGGACATAGTTGCCACAGCCGCCGACGCAAGCGACAATTTCCGGATACTGCAGCTCAACTGCGGATGAAGCCTGATCCATTTGGTTCTTTCTCGTGCCAACAGCATGTTGGTCGAAGTCTGGGTGAGGTAAGGCTTCTTCTCCCGCGCCACCGCATGCACAACACACGAAGACGCGTCGAGAAGCCACATTAATAAATCGTAAATTCTCGAATTCGAAGCTGTTGGCCAGGTCTTTGTTCGAAAAACCCGATGGTGCCTGTCGTTCGGAAGCGAAAAAAGTTAGGTTAACCCAGGATAGTCAATAAAATGAAAATCCGAGAATCGACGATAGATTGGTTGAATCCAATAGCGTCGGTATGTTTGAAAGAAAACGGGTGTTGCCGTAACACAGAGATCAAAGAAACAACTTGCCTTTGGCTCAGCAAATGTATCGGTGTGCTCTCCGTCCACATGATTCAATCTCGAATGTTTCCCGAACTTGGAGCGCTTCATGATGCCTAGAGAACTGAGGGAAGTTGAGGAAGAATGGGCTTGACGAAGTCCGGTCGAATGTGAAGCGGAGTCACTATCGCTGTTTGAGCCATCCGATTCGCTCAAAGAGTCCCCGTGACAAGGTTTGGCCGAGGCACGTTTCCTCTGACGGCCGGGAAGCGGGAAGCGACCTGTGGCAAAACACGGACGAGACATACAGTAGTTTACTTCACTACTAATAGTACTACGTAAACGAGAGAACGCCACATCAAGATCGACAGAAAATGGGTTGTCATCTACCTTGGAACAAAGCTAGCCCTATTGAACAGGTGGAGTCCAACCACCGAGTACAAATGTGTCAACACAATCCTTTAGTCTGTCCCTGGTGGGAGAGTTCAGAATAAGAATTTGAACCAGCATGGAAGAAATCATCCCCAACATGCCACACTTCGCTGCAATTCACTGCACACTGTTGAGACAATGCATTTTCAAGCGGGGTTCGAGACGGGTCAAGCTGAAAATGGGAGTTGGTTGCCCTCGAAACCCAAAAACGCACAGCTTCCCAGGCGAAGAACTCATGAAAACGGTAACATACAGTCTACTTTGGGTTTTGTCTGGTTGTCACTTGTCTTGAAACCGTGTTTTTGTTTGTGCGGACTGTGAACAGTCTACTTTGGGTTTTGTCTGGTTGTCACTTGTCTTGAAACCGTCGTGTTGGTTGTGACGGACTGTGATCGTTTTTGTTCTCATTCGTAGCGGGCCATCCGTTCGATCGGAAACACATCAGAATGGGCTAAGAGGTGGTTCCCGTCTTGTTTTACCCGTGAAAGGCGGCCCCATTGGGAAACTGTCACCTAATACACTTCAGCTTGATTCAGTCAAAGCAAGAAGGTAGATTTGTTGATCGGATTGCTCGAATCCAAAAGGCTTGAACTCGAAGAATGAAGAGAAAATTCACCAGTATGGTCTAAAGAGAGCGGTAGAAGGCCATCAGTGAACCAGACGAAAAAAGAAACAAGTTGAAAAGGTGCCTCGATGGGCAACTGGTGTAGAATGAGAGTGAGGGCAGCAGATCCCCCCCAGGAGGCTCCATGGAGACGAACAATCAGCAAACCACTTAACAGGTGAGTTGAGCAATTCGTTTGCTCACAAGGAAAAGCGCCGAAGCGTATGCATATTCTACAAGCGATCGATTATACGGATAACGTATGGCATTTTTGTCATCGTGGAAAAGATGCGGCTATGTTGTGGGGGGAACCGGACTAGGAACTTTCGAAATCGTCGGACTACGCAGCAGACTACTTACCGAACGTGCTACTCAGGCCACTTTTTTGAACTGAGTTCGATTCCAGTTCATGATATTTAGGATCGAACATCCAGGGGAAAAGTGCTATGCGCCTGCCTGGTTCCGGTTTGGATAGCAGGGCCGCCTCTGCAACTTCCCTGGCCAACTGCCATGCCGGTTGAAGGCTCGGTTGTATAACGAATTGACATAGAGCCTGAAAAACGCGAAAGACATCAGAGGGACGCTTGATAGACTCACTTTCGACACAATGATACTTAACCAACACCATGGAGAATGCGGCTTACACGGAAAGTTCACACAGTCTGAGCAATCTGAGATTAAAGTTTGAACTAAGCCGTTGGTTTCACAACTGACTTTCACCTGTCCTAAGATATCACACACTCGTCAATGCCACAAACAGAGTTTCATCCTTCGTTGCATACAAAAAGGGCTCGGTGCAGGACTCGCTATCAACATTCCTACCTAGTTGCCTTTGGTCGTCTTTCTATTTGGGCTCCTGTGTAGCGAAGACGTCTGATTCCGCATTCGCTCAAGTGGTTAGGGTGCGGAGGTCCTCTGCCTCTCAAGTTCCCCTGTCTAAGCATGGGCAATCTGGCAGTATCCCAGCCCTCGTGTTTCCTTCGGGTGGCATGGCAGCTCTAACACCGGAAGGGTGTTAGAGCTGAACGATATATGCATACATCCTAGTTCCCACCAACTGGGATCACTAGTGAGACTTAATCAGTGCTGTCTCCTGGAGAAGGATCCAACTTTCATGCGCGTCAGGTGATCGATCTTTCAAATATCACATTATGAAGTACCACATATGTGGTACACAGTGCATCATACATTACATAGTATTGTCCGTCTGAACCGCTCGTAATACGATAGGCATAAGGATCGCCAACTTGGGGTGCCACTAGAAACATTCATGTCCGACGGAATCCCATTAACTGAAATAGGCTGATCCTAAAATCAGCCTGATTTTGCATTTTGACTTTTGATTTTTATTTTTCAATGTATCACC